AGAGAGAGAGAGAGAGAGAGAGAGAGAGAGAGAGAGAGAGAGAGAGAGAGAGAGTCAAATTTACAGTTTGCAATATGCAAATGCATTTCCTTATTTAAGTCAAGGACTAATAAGGCGCATTATGTATCATGTCTGGAATAAAAGAAACAAGCATCATTTCACTATTTAAGTCAAGGACTAATAAAGCGCATTATGTATCTGTCTGGCGAAAAAAAAAAAAACAAGCATCTCTATTTGTCACCATAGCAAATCTTATCTGGCAGAAAACCTTTGAAGCAGCTTATCTATCTACAAGTAAATATTCTCAACTTGAAATAACTAGCAGTCACATCAGTGTGCATTGCTTTGCCCACGTAAGCACAATAAAACCGACCATCTCCCTCCACCCACCATTGAGAACACTGAATTAATGACAACTGTTGAGTGTCACTTGATAATTAGTAACTTCCATTTTCTTCTTGTAGTGATCAAGCTAAGGAGATTAAATATGGATTCCTTTGACATTGACATCCTCTTCAAACAGTGAGAGAACAAAGTTGACAAGTGTAAATATCAATTGGATTATTTTCTTAATACGAAATCCAAATGAATATTCAGTTTCTACACGAGGAAAATGTATAGAACAGGAACAAGTTCCTATTTTTCATTATGCACTTATTACTAGAAAAACAAAAACTTAATTTCACCCTTCCTATACCCTTATAAATCTTTCCACCAGTGTGTGAAAAAGAAGAAAGATCTAAGCCAACATTCATAAACTTCATCAACCGTAAGACCCTAGCCTGAAGTGTGTTGGAACCCATGAGGGTATGCAAAGTCAAGGGTTCAAATACCTCCGGATGTGCGAGTTATAGCCAGTTAAGGATGATAATATAAAGCCTTTCATTTGTTCAACATATAAAGCTCCTTCGTTTTCAGAAGTCATACACCCTATGAACTAGATTTCTTCAAGTCCGCATAAAGTACGCAAGTGATAGTTGTTACAAACATACGGACATTCAAGGAAAAAAATAAGTGTCAAAATGCTTCTAATATTCACAGATATTCAACGAATTCACTTAAACAACTTTACTTAGAAAACGGTCGCTTCAGAGTTTAATTTGACAAATTTCGTCAATTTTCGTAACTTCATGAGCCATTCAGTTCCATACCAATTAACACAACCTTATTATGCTAAACACGGCACGGAAACCACTTCAAACACAATATGACTAACAAAAAAAAAAAAAAAGTTTATCGCATAGAGTCAAGGAGAAATTTCAAAAGAAAATGGCACCAGGCATTTCGTCTCAGCATCACATTGTAAATTACCAAAAAAGCAAAACGTAAGATCCTACCAGAGGATTAGTCCAGAATTATGACATCATCATCCGAATCCTCAGGTTGAAAAGGTCCTTTAACACCATTTTTATTATTCCCGAGTAGCTCACGAGCTGCTTTCTCAAGAAACTCCTGAGCCGCAGTACGGACCGATTGCCTCTCAGACGATTGGAATTTTCTCTTCTTCTGTAGATTTTTGTCCAAATAGTTGATTCTTTGATCTACCCCCTGACTAATTTTCCGCATGCTTTGCCTCTGCTCTGCAAAAATAGGCAATTATTCAAATGACTAATAATTGGAAATTGCTTTTCACACCTCAGGTGAACAACTCATACCAGAGGAAAGATCAGGTAGGGAATGCTCGATAAAACGGGCTGCCGCCTTAGGATTAATGGTGACTGACGGACGTAATGGTGCTACAAACATAGAAAAAAATTATTCAAGAAATATCAACACTAAAAATTTATAGCAGTAGTAGTTGGAACTAGAACCACCAAAAGCAGCAAAATTATAGCAGTAGTAGTTGGAACTAGAACCACCAAAAGCAGCCCGACTATCTTATGTCAAAAGTGTAAATTTCGATGCCTTAAAACAAACATCAAAAGACTTTCACAGCACGGCTCATTACATACAATTATTTGTATTTACGTAATTGCTGTATGTGTGGGTTTCAAGATAAGATGAATATAGAAGAACCACACACGAGTGGAAGAGACTACGAAAAATTATTCTTATAGAAGTATTAGATTCAGTGAAAACAGCAGTAATTCATTGACAGAAACTAATACTTTCTTTGCAGGATTCTTCTCCTTACCTTAATTTCTGAAAACAGCACAATAAAGCCAATAATCCGAAATTCACAATATGAGTACTATAGTCATCAAGGTAACGAGCGTGAAAGGAGAGAGAATTTACCTTTGTTCAAGTCCATGCACTGTTGCAATTTTTCTTGGTACAAGCTCAATCTTTCCTGAACACATGACCATCAAGCCGCTATCAGACAAACTAACAAAAATAATATTTGACTATCGGAAACTGCATATAACCCGTTGAGACATCACTTCCAAGTTATCTCAAATACATTAAGATGATAAGGCAAGAACCAACTAGCATATAGGAAATGGAAACCTACATACAAAGTTGCAAACATTTATTCGTACAACTAAAATAAAGCTAGATATAGTGTTCTTGCACCATGAATGACCAAACAAGAAAGAAATAAAGCATAAACCGGGAAATGACAGCACGAAAATAAAATCGGGACTGATCATTATATTCTAATACTCAGCCCAAAGTCATCAAGAAACTTACTAAGTGCACAAACAGAACACACGTGTTCACCCAACCTTAGAGTTTAGCGAGAAAAATCCACAAAGCATACACAGGATGGCAAGAAACCATCTTCAAAGGATAAATCATTAACTAAGGAACACCTTCATCCAGTAACAACCCTAATAACATCCACATGAACAATGAAAGACAAACATAGCAAAGCATGACAACAAATCAGATGAACTATACCACATTAAGAACATTTAATAACAAATAGTCACCAAATAATAATAATCATACACTACGAAAACATCAAAACTCTTGCATCTGAGGAAAAAAAAAAAAAAAAAACTTACAAACTCCCTTCTGACAGGATGATCATCTGGATTCACACCCTTGCATCTTAGCCTCACTGCAAGAAACACCACAAATAAACAACACAACCAGAATCGAATCGAAAGGGAAGAATTAAATCACACAAGTAACTGAACAAATCCAAGAAAATTAACAGAACAAGAAAAGTTGGGAGCAGTTGCATGTCCAGAATAAACAAGGAGACCAACATGAACAACAAAACAAAAATTCAACATACAAGCAAAGAGAGTAGTTGTGGCTTTGGCTAGCAAGAGAAGGACTTGGGCTCTTTCTAGAGGATCCATTCTTGAAAGGGTTTCATGGGTACAGTAAGACAAGAACTCCTCCAGATTCTGTTTTACATC